ACTTGGAAATGGCACTGCTGTGCACCTCATTACAGAACCCCACACCTAGCCATCCTTGTTTATCTCTTCTCATCTGGCACATCTACCTTGCCAATAACATCTCATGAACTGTTCGTTCTGCACCATCTCGTTGTCACCTCCCTGTTCAAGTGACCATCAGGTCTTGTGTTCTCTGAGAACCAAGACCATATTCTGAACCACTTTCATTTCCTTCTGCGTTCCTTCCACAATACAGTTTCAATGTGCTAATCAGAACGTGTTTCAAAGCATATTTAAACACCTACTGCCCTAATTAAAGCATTTCTATGGCCGCTCTAATCCTAAGGTCCAAACTCCCAAACCTTATTTCTGTGACACAGCACAATAGCACGCGGACCCCAGCCAGCCTCACTACGAGGCCTTCACACTGAAGCTGTCCTTGGCCAGCTTGTCCTTACTCGTGGCGTGTCCTGCACTTGAAACTCTTCTTTATATTCTTCACTCAGTGTTTTACTGTTAATCTTTCAGGTTGAGACCTACTTTTACTTTCTTCCTAGACCATTCTGTCTAAAGTAGCAGTTCTGATAACCAATGCTGTTGGCTTCCTGTATAGTATGGGTTAAAATCTGCAATGTTTTTATGTTTTAATTTTTATAAGCTTCTCACAATAAGCAAACTGCAAATAGCAATTTAAATTATTGTTTTGCTCTTATCTATTGTCAGAGCCTAAAAGAGAACCTAGGACAAAAGCCATATCCAAAATACATTTGTCTAAAAAAAATCACATCTGATATCCAGAGCAAAAATATTTTCTCTTTCATCGAGACAACAATAGATAATGCCAAATAACTCAATTGTAATTCATGAATTTTAATTACTTTCATCCTTTGCTTGTGTCTCCCTTGTGTATTGCCTTCTCCAGTAATGAGTATTCTGTTATAAATATTAAATTTAAAGTATCTCTTATATTAATGAAAATAAATACCATTTTATCATTCTCAATGCTATTGTTAATGTGTTTATCTTGTTATTACTAATAATGTTTTCTTAAATTTCTTATCTGATGTGGTGCTGTATTTTCAGACTAATTTTCTTGTTTGTGAAATAGTCTCTAGCGAAAAAAATCAAAAATCTTGAAACTTGATATTAAATTCTACATCAGTAATTCTGGGAGTACAAAATGTAAGCTTGGGATTCAGTTTCTACATCTGTTGAATCCAAGATTGCGTTGGAAAATCCCAAAGGCCCTTAAAGTCAAATTGTTCTACAAAGTTAAGACAAAGCAGAAAATGAGAAACTTATTGACCAATAAGTGTTGAAACTGAGTGGTAGGTATCAGAAAGATAGTGAAACAGAAACAGAAGGAAAGTTTAGTCATAATCTTACTACTTCTAAGTCATCTAATAATACCTTATATTTTATCATCCTGGATTACATTGTGGTTTAGAATATTGCATACTCAAATGTTAAGGTAGGTCACACTGTCAGTCCCAATAACAGTAATAACATTACATAGCACCTTTCATCTTGGGCTCCCAAATCACTTTATAAGCATCAATTAAATCTAAAAACTCCTCTATGCTAGTATTACTGTGCCCATTTAACAGATGGAAAACTGAGCCAAATCCTCGTTTAAACCATAAAGCACAGCTTTCTTATTTTAAATGAGTACACATGTCTCAGTTAATAGTATGCTAGTAGACACCGAGAGTTGGGTTTAATTAATGAGAATTTCTATATATGATATTTTCATGCCTGTAAGCTTATGGAATCATGTGTGGTATCTGTGAAAATGTGTGGGTGTATACGTGGAGTATGAGTGGGTCTGATTATAAGTATATATAGTCTGTGGGAAAAGCTGCAAGTGAGTATGTGTCTGAATAAATATAAAGTTAATCTGCGCTCCGTAGACACTCAAGTTTTCTTTTTTCTGATTTAAAAACAAGTATTACTTCATTTAACACTTCTGCTATTTGACATTTCCCTCAGCATCTTTTATGTCCTTTTCTGTCTCTATCCTATGCTTTATCCTGTCCTCTTTTTCTGTCAGTTTCAAAGCTCTAGCCTCCAATATTTGTGCTCATCCCACAAACTTCCGGTGGTACCAGAGTACCACCATCTAATACCGTGGTTTCATCAACTTGCGGTGTGCTGGTAATACCCAAATCTACGCCAAAAGATTGACTGTCCCTAAGTATTTCCACTGACTTGTGAGCATTTCTATGAGGGAGACAGACTTTGAGACATGAGACACGGAGAAAGAGGGAAAGAGAGAGGGACAGGGAAAGATACTTCCATAACTCAGTGGAAATACAGGTATGGGTATTAAGTTATTCCATCCCTGTCTTAATCTCATCATTTCTGATAATACATTTGTTCACTCACTCCCTTGAAGTCTAAACCTGTTTTTAATTTTTACCATACTTAGTAAAAGTGACTACTACCCAGAAGCTAACCTAAAACTCCAGGGCTTAACCTCCCTTCTCCATTCCTCGCCTTCTACGATCAAGTAGCCAATCCTGCAATGTAAGATTCCATTTCATTGTTTTGATTCTTCTTAAAACCCTAGCATGGTCCCCTTGGAATAGGCCATTATCTTCTGCATATACCATGACACAGATCTTCTAATACATTCGCGAGTGAGATATGAGTGCATGCTTTAGAAAACAATAATGCAATCATGTCTCTTCTGAAATAATGCCTTTCCATGCCTCTATTACTGTTAGAATCCAGTCCAAACTTCATAAGATTTTCAAGATCCTGCATGACCTAACTTCCACCCACTATAATTATTACTGGCTAATTCTCTTTTTAAATTCTATGAAACATAATTATATATGTATAGCATCAGTTTCTTGAACTTACATGCTTTCTTTCATTCTTTTTTTCTATACCTTTTCCATGTCTTTTTTTGGCTCTGAGAGATGAAAAATATTTTCCTCCCAAAAAAGCTTTATTTTCTGTGTGTCACTTAGCATATAGCAGCATCATTACCTTTGTATAATTTTTCCCCTAGATTTTTAAATTTAGAGAAAACAGAGATTAAGCCTATTCTTGAAACATTGTTTCTGCAGTGCTAGTACTGATCCTGACACATAATAGACATTCTGTAAATATTTATCAAATGGTTGCCTAACTCAGCGTGTGCTTGCCTAAGTCAGTGAGGTCAGTGTTTTAGACTAAGCTTGTAGAAATAAGGAAGATCTGAGAAAAATGGGTCAGATTCATGTTGTTCTAAATAAACTATGTTGTTCTAAATAATATGAGAGCTCTTAGTCTAAACAGTGTATTTCTAGTAGAGAAATATTTATTATGCCCTTTAATCTCCTCTGCCACACCACATATAACTTTAAAAGAAGTTGATTTTGTGTGTGGCTTGGGAAAATGATCTTGGACTTGGAGTCCTGTTCATCAGTACACCCACACAGAAGATGGCTCTGCCCTGGTCACATTCACTTCTCCATAAAAGTAAGAAATGCTTGGTCCTGTGGGACTACCTATAGGTGCAGGCCTAGAAACTATAACCCAGAGAACCCATGGCACCATTTCCTGAAGTTAACAAGTGGCTGTCCCCCAGATGTGTGACAATGACTGGACCACTTTTAGAATGAGCACTGAGTCAGACGTGAGGGCAACAGCTTCCAGCGTCGTGTCATGGCAACTGGCATGCGTGGAGAGAGAAAGGTGGCAATTAAGGAGTGATGCCAGGAATTGAGTTAAGGGCTTCCAAGGTATCCGTTGGTATCAGTCTGTTGTATTTGATTCTGGCCATCAAGTTATTTTGAAGTGTGTTTGTCAAAGTAGAAAGACATATTTTACGAAATTTAGTTTGTCAACTTGCTTCATAGCCTTTATCAACATGTAATACACGGATCTCTAATCATATTTATGAAAAGGCCCCATAATTATTAGGCGTTGTCCCGCTACTCAAAAATGTTATTTCTAGAAGATTTTTGATCCTTTGTAGAATAGTGTGGAACTTACTACTAAAGAGTTTAAAGTTTTTGATAACTGTCAGTAATATTTTATACAACAATGAAATATATTTCGGTTACACCCTACGGCAAATCATGATTTTCATCACAACCCTGCAAATCATCATGGCATAGGTTGAATCTTTCTCCTGAATTAATGACAATGAAAATATTTCAGGAAAGTCCCTGTTGCTGACTTTACTGGTAGAAAAGAGATTGCAGATAATTTATATTTATAAATTATATACTATATTTTTCTTTAGTTTTCTTTCTTTTTTTATAGGTATGCTATGTTACAGCAGCTTCATATCATTTCAATACTCTATATGAAAAAAAAATTCTGGATTGCTGTTTTGTGTTATCAAGTTTTGGGGATACAGAGATGTTACATATTTATTAGAAAATACACTAATTTAAAGCAATAATGCACTCATGTCTCTTCAGAAATAATGCCTTTCAATGCCCCCATTACTGTGGCTTTTTTTTTTTTTTTTTTTTTTTTTTTTTGGAAGGAGTTGGGTACTGGGGATCGAACTCATGACCTCGTGCTCACAAATCAGGCACTTATGCTGCTGAGCTAGATCCTCAGCCTTTGTTTTTTTTTTTTTTTTTTTGTTTTGTTTTGTTTTGTTTTGTTTTGTTTGTTTTTAAAATTTAATAGATAGCCAATAAGAATAAAAATGCTATAAATATTAACTCATTTAGGCCTTTACAATACTTAAATACAGATATAGTTATTATAGCCATTCTACTGATGAGAAAACATAAGCAAGAAGAGGTAAGCAACTTTCTCAGTGTGTATAGTCATTAACATATATCTCATGAAGAGCGGAGCAAGAGCTCAAACATTAGCAGTCCAGTTCTAGTGCTGTAGCCCCTAGGCACTGTTCTGCTGCCCGTAAAAGTGTTTACTCTTTAAGGACAGAGATGGCAGGCCTTCATTTAAAAAATAAGAATGAAAAAATATGATTTTTAATCAAGAAATGTGTGATTTAAACAAAAAGAAATACATGCTACTATATTGCTTTAATTTTTCCTTTTTAAAAAATTTATTTCCTCTGAAAGTTTCCAAAGCACTCAATTTGCCTGAATTTTAAAAAGATATTTCCTTTGCTCCACTTGAATGACTAATAAACATGTAAGTCCACTGGCAAAGTGACAGAGGGTGTTACTCTAATTTTTTAAGGAAAACCAGATGAGTTACACTTTAAGGAATTTATGACAATACAGCCATACTTAAATATTTTCTATTTTAAGTTTCAATTACTACCAAGACAGAATGCTTTGGTTTATGAATAGCAGCAGCTACCATCAGACAACTGAAGCTCACATCAGAAATGGAAATATACATGGATTTCAGATCCTTAGGGAAAAAAATGAATCTATTTAGCTGAAAGAAGCACATCTGAAAGGGTGAAGTGATATTGACATTTCATTTCAATAGGTGTGCTCATTTTTGTTAAAAATTGAGGTAGCCAAAATTTATCCTTAATAAGACCACTACAATTGCTGTGAAATGAGTTGCATTATTTATCTTTCTATATATTAGTAATTTTCTATATAATAATTTCTATATATTAATAAGATTTTAAAAGTCTGTTATACAACTTTTATATACAATTAATTCTAAAAGAACAGTATATAAGAATATGTAACAGGCATTCACTTATTCGAGTATTTAGAAAAATCGATTTTACATTATATGACCTCATTTAGCAACCCAATAGCTAAAGAAAGTATGTTATGAATTACCAACACAATACAAATGGCATTTCATAATCTACAGTAAAAAGTGTTGTTGAGTATTAAGATAGTTCTCATATTTTTCTCTCTTGATAAACACATAAGAATATTATTTGGCCTAAATTAGCTCCTTTTATATAAATTAGACTGGAAAATTGCATCAGCTTTATTTAGAAATATCCACAAGAGAGATAGTCTGATTATCGAGGTCACTGCTGTGTCTACGGTAGTGACTTAAAAACCAGTCTTATCATTAGAAATATTATATGTAATGTAATTAAACTTAGCCAAAATTAGGAAAAAATATACATAAAGGCCAAAAAAATCTTCTTTTCCAGTAACAACATGTAAAGATAAAAGGAAAGTATATTTTCTTTGAAAAGAATCTTTCATCATTATGAATATTATAGTTACATTGCTTTCTGCATTAAAAAGTATTACTCCTTAAGTATTTAAGAAGGCATATGCTTACCTCCCTACCCTTCTGTAGGGAGAACAGGACACATGCACACTCACACACACATGCAAGCATGCACAAACAGATTCTCCCTAAATACATAGAAAGAAATTTCTTCAAAATTTCTACTACCTTGAACTGTAATTTGGGCATTAGATAAAGGGAACAGACTTTATACTAATGGATTCCATGCATATGAATCTCAGTAAAATGCCTTGTGTGTATGCATGTGTGTGAACAGTAGAATGCCATCTTTTAAACTTGCTAACTAAAACTATGATAAAACACAAAAGTTAAATATTTTATTACACTATCGTCATCATTTCATTGTTGGTCACAGTATATAAACATCGGGAAGAAGGACATAGTCTTAGAATATTAGAAAAACTGGTGACTACATTGTTTCCTGGTAGAAAAGATAAAAATCTTTTTTGTGTTCTTCTCTAGCTTCATGAATTGGAAAATCATATTTAGTTTTGTATCCTAAAGCAAAACTATCTCTAATTCTTCATTGGTCACTTCCTCCTTGATTCACATTTTCATTCAATTTGTAAAGTTATCAAATTATTAGTGAGTTAGAAACGTTCTTAAACGCCAGGAATCCACAGGGGACAGTACAGAGACAATTCTTGCCTTCATGAAGCTTACCTGTAGTGGTATTTCTTAGAAAATCTCTTTGGCTCTACCAGTCTTGTATATGTTTTCAACGTGTCCACTTCTCCATTTCTGTTGTCATCATCATCACTTCTTGTCTATTTTAAAGCGCCCTGAGTTTGTTTCCAGGATTCGGTTTTTCCCCATACTCTGACCTAACTCTATTCTCAAAGAATCCCATCAGATCTCTTTCTTATTCTTGTATTTTCTTTCCTGTTGCACTAATGCCACTGTCATTTCATGATACTCAAGAGTCAAGAAAATGTTTAAAAATGAAACAAAAATAAAATTAGGCAACAGTAAGTGAATTATTTTGGGGTAAGGAAAAATATTTAAAAAGGGCGTATCAATGTGAACAAGCTTACAAAATATAGAATAAGTATTAAAGTGTTAAAAATAAACTTTGAGCAATAAAAATAAAAAATTGCTTACTAACAGATCTCAAGAATATATCACTTGCCTATATCGTAATCCTGAGTATGCTTTTAAAGAATACTAGTTTTACAGGATTTTTGAGGAATGCTGAATGCCTTTTTGTCTACAACATGCAACAGTATTTGATATTAGACAAATATACATTAATTGTTGTGCTTGATAGTAGACAGCATACTTCAATTGTGACTTTTTTATAGTTTCTAAAGCAGTCTGACTATATTTTGTAATTATTAAATGGAAGATTTAAAATTTTTCAAAATAACAATTTCCCCCATGGTCTCCCTATCTACTTACTCAAACCTATAAAGTTAAAATTTTCTCAATGTCCACTTGATGCTTGTGATAGAATACACTGAGAGCCACTAATTTATTCAATTGAAAGCAAGAAACTAAAACATGATTGTGTATGTATTTGTGGAGCTTTAGTATCTCCCTTAATTTTTAAAAACTTTTTAATTTCTAAGAATTAGAATTAGTCAATGACAGTGAAACTTTTGCCCCTATGAAGACATTGTTTATAAACATTCTTTTAAAAAATCAGTTATGAGGTAACTACTTAAAATTATGAGATTTCCTGTGTATTTATACCTCCATAGTTCTCTTTTTCCTTTTGAGTAGTAAAATAGCCCATTCTTATTCTTTCTAATTTATTTTATGTTGACACACACTTAAAATATGGCTCCCTCAAGTACATCACTGAAGAAGGATTTAAAACAGAGTACAAATGAAAATTACAGAAAATTAAGCATAGTCTACATACTATTGGATATTGTCCTGCAGATAATGTATTTTTGTCCTGCATTCTGCAATTTTATATTAAAAGAAACTTTTAATTATTTGAATAGCTCCATTTTTTATTTCTTTTGTTCTTCTAAATTGCTGATTTTACTATCTGTCTCCTTAACTTCCCTCTTCGAAGAACATTTAAAATTCTGGTTACCTTGCTTATAAGCAAGAATAAGGAAGAAGACATTTTAGATAATGGTTTTCATTGTGAGGGTATCCCTGCATCATTGCACATTGGATTTAATGTGAAAATTGTATTTGGAGTTGTTTGATTTGCAGAAATAATAAGCCTTAATCTTTAGTTTCTGATGGTAATTAGTTTTCAACCCAGACAGTCTGGATAACTATATATTTACAACCTTGTAAAGAACTATCATAACAAGCCCTTAAGCATTATTTGAAAATTAATAAACTAAAGTAGGAGGAAACCTTTTACTTTCCCATAGCAACACAGACTGAATTATATTGTTTTATTGCAAAATTTTACTTTTCAATTATAGGCTTACTAAATTAAGAGGCTTGAAAAGCATAAAAAACAATTATTAGTTTCTTGACACTGCAGTTGACTAATGCAATGAGTCCACTTTACTAAAAGGAAAAAAAAGAAGCCTCTTTCTATTTTTCTTTTTTAAAGAAAATTCTTTCCTCTAGTTTCCTGAGAATAAATTCTGACTCAAATAAATCTTGCTTCTGTTGTATTAATAGAATGCATTATATAATGAAGTGGAATTTTCTAAATTAGGTAAAAATAAATACAGCACAAAAATTATTGCTGAACTCTTTTCAAGTTTATGTTTTCATTTCTGAAAAAGAAACGACAGATTCATTGTTTAAAACTTGCAAATGTACAAAAGACTTGGCAATCTGGATATGAGTTAAATAATTATTGCTATTGATGAATGTATTAAATTTAAAGCAAAACTGTGTATAAATTGGGTTAATTGCTTAGAAGAGAATGAAGAAGTCAAAAACTGCTTAACCTAATTCTCACCGTCACAGAGTGAGGGTGGAGAGCCAATGCGAATGCTCCTTAGCTTTAGGGCTGGTGTCTATTACCAGATCCAAGGCTGCTGCGCTGGGCCACGCAGAGTGCAAACTTCTTTAGAGTTTTGATGAATGACGTCATGTGAATGGTGTACGTGTGTGTGTGTGTGTGTGTGTGTGTGTGTGTGTGTGTGTGTGTGTGTGAGAGAGAGAGAGAGAGAGAGAGAGAGAGAGAGAGAAAGAGAGACAGAGACAGAGAGAGCCTGAAGAAGGATCACATTCTACAGAGATTCCCAGTGCAGAATGATCTGCAGAACAGTTGAAGATTTTTTTTCTCTCATTTTTACTTTCCCATGCCAACTTTAAGTCATCAAATATATCCTGTCATACTTTATGATAATAAGTGTTTTGTTATAAATGACCAGAGTTTAGGTTTCAGTTTAAAACTTATCAGCTGTGTGATATTGATCAAGTCCATTAGGCTATCTGTGACTCAGTTTCCTTATCTACAAAATGAAGATAATCTTCCAGAACCGTTGCGAGAACTGAGTCACCAAGCATGTTTCTTCTTTTTTTTTTTTTTTTTTTTTTTTTCTTTTTGGTCTTTTTCCTTTTTATGGGTACCGGGGATTGAACTCACGACTGCTTGCTTCCAAGGCAGGTGCTTATGCTACTGAGCTAAATCCCCAGCCCCACCAAGGATGTTTCAAAGCAAGGCTAAACACACGTTAGATTAGCAGGGCCTATGCACAAAGGTACTAAGCAAGCACTATAATGATTTAAAGAAAAATTTTCATTCTTCCAAATTATACTTGTACTCTTTAAAGTACTTTTAAATGTTCATTAATTCCTAAGGTCATTAATTTAGTGGTGATAAAACAGAGAGAGATAAATGTAAAAAGAAGTTGAGGAAAAAGGGGGAAAAAGAAAGGGAGAATTTGAGTAGAAAGTCTCTAAGCTGTTAAATTTAGTTCTTTTAACTTTGAAGCACTGTCTTGAGTTGCTATGAGTTGCTAGGTGTCAACTAAAAAGTGAAATACTCAAGTATATATTCCTATTTTAATAGAAAAACCTGCTTAGGGAATGGAAAGAGATCAATCAATCAGTCAA